GTAAAATTTTAAATTAAATAAATTAATTATATAATGATACATCATATTATAAATTCATAATGTTACGTAATATTGTAATTATAACATTTTCACTTAAAAGGGGAAGAATTTGATTTCTATCAGGTTTGCTGACCCGCGATGGGGTCCGAATAGGATAACTATGTTTCTAAGATGGTTAAAATATGAATTTAGTTGTTCAATTTTTAAATTTGTACTAAAATTATCTTTTAATTTTAAAAAATATTAAAATTATTCATAAATTTTAATTTTTAATACAAAAAAATCTTTTAGTTAAAAAAGTGCCATATAATTCGTTATTTTGCCACAAAATTAGTTTTTTTTTTTTAAATACTAATAGTATGTAAAATCAAACGATTATATTTTACCATCATAGTATATTTTTATTTACATATTAAATTAATATATAATTACAATTGAAAGACCAAAGTAGTATTTATAATTAAAGTTTAAGAATTAAATTGGTACTTGTTTTTAAAGTTTAAGGATTAAGTTAGTATTATCTTTAAAGTTTCAGGACTATTTTAATATTAAAAATTAAAATTTAAGGACAATTTTGATTTTTTGAAATTGAGGGGTAATTTTAATATAAATTTAAAAGTTAAAAGACCAAATTGATATTTTAATTTTCTAAAATTGCTAGTAGTATGTTGCTTTTATAAAATCATTATTTTTTAAGGATAATAATATTTCTGTTTAAAAAATTATGATAAATCTTAACCATTTATATTAAAGAGAAAAATTATTAAAATTGTATATAAATAATGTACATATAAAAATTACAATACATATATGTTGATTCTAATTATATGCATATAAATAATGTACATGAATCCCAACCTTACAAAAATTACAATTCTTTATTAAAATTAGAGTCTTTTATGATAAATTAATCAACTTAACCCTAAACCCTAAATTCTAAATTAAATTAAAAAGTAATTTAAAAGCCACTCTACTAGTTAGAAGCATCACAGCTATAGGGTGTATTTGAAATTGCAGTTGAGGATTTTTTCTTTGTATATAGTACTTTTAAATATATATATATATATATATATGTTTGATAATTTTTTTAGATAATTTTTTCCAAAAGTTGTAAAAAACCATAACAAATTCACATTAATTTTATGTATAAAGTCAAAAACTTCATTTTAGAGCTCTTTTACTATTACTTCCATAGACAACACTTAATTTTAATACAATTATAAAATTACGCATTAAAATCTAATATCATTTAATTCAATTACATTATAATTTATAATATTTTATTTAAACCTAATCTTTTGTTTATTTAAAAATTTTATAAAAAATTAAAAATCCATTCCCTCCTATAATCTGCTTTGAAACCTTTTTTTTTTTTTTTCGTTTTTTGTTTTTTACTCATCACCTCCCAACCTATTAAACCATTCAGATAATTGTAAACCATACACAAGTCAAAAGACGTTAAAAAGCATGGCATTTAATTTTTGAAAATCCTACTGCGGATTGCACGCTCATGGTGTCCAACCGAAGAAGATAAGCTAGAGAATAAGATAAAAGAAACAAAAATAAATAAAATAACAGAAGAAAAAATGAAAATATGGTAGACTTTCTACCACTCCAAGGTAGTATTGGATTAGGTCATTAGGTATGTCCTCATCTTATTTTGAATCTTAGCTTTATTGCCCTTACATTAAATCCACAATAAGATTTTCTTCATTGACTATTCTGAGGTGCTTTGGGTTTAAGCAAAGAGGTGTGCCTTGTCAATTCTTTTAGGCTTACTCCCTTTGATTCCAAGTAAGATGAGGATGTGTTCAAGCAACTTATGTATTTTTTAATTGGGTCCTTCACTTGAATAAAATAAGTTTTAAAATGGATTTTCATGAGTGTTTTCCTGCAAAATCTTATCAACCATTTCAATAACAAAATAATCATTAAAATCAAATTTGGTTAATGGAGACTCCTTATAGAACACTTCAAATGACACTTGAACTTTCTCCTCTTCTTCCTTAGGGACATCCTCTTGTTTTGTGTTTGCAAGTATGCTTTCTACTTCTTCAAGTTGTCCTTCAACTTCCAAGATTAAAGTGTTAACCCCTTCTTCTTGATTTTTCTTTGTTTCACTAGGTAACTTGTCTTGTATTTCTTCACCATCCAAGTTGAGTGAATGACTCAATTATACTTCAAAATTTTTGTGCAAACATGTCTCCTTTTTTTGAACTTGAAACTTTTATTGTGGCTCCAATATGTTTAGCTTATTCATGAGGAGTTTGGATAATTTATCCAATCAAAGTTGTATGTGTTGGGATAAAAATTATGTTGCTGGCTATAAAAATACAAGAAAAATCAGCTTGCTTGTTAGATGGTTTAAATTAGCAATCAAAACTAAAATTTTCTCCACACCATCAACAAGTGATTTTAAATTATTTTATTATAGCTTTCTTTAATTTGATCCTTTCAATGATAGCTTGAATTCTTTCAATGTCATCATTGTCAACTTTTGCTTCTCAAGTGATAATTATTGTTTCAACTTGTGCTCTTAACTTTGGGGCAAAACATTAATAATTCATATCAGTGTCTATGACAACTTGATTCATAATTAGGGTTGCAAAAACAAAAACAAAGGGAAAAAAAAATCAAAGTAAAGAAAATAAAAGACAAGAAAAATGCTCAAATCAAATCTAAAATTAATTAGCTTCGATATTAATTAAATTCAACAATTCTAAGAAATGGCGCTAAAAACTTGATGTGCTCAAATCACTCTAATAAGTGCATTAATCGCTTTAGGTAATATGATGATAAGTAAAGTGTCGAATTTACAAGGATTGTGATTAACTAAGTACTCAAAATAATTAATTGTAGATTTATTTGAACAATAAAAAAAATAACTTTTAATTAAATATAATAAAAAAAACAATTAAAATAAAGATAACTAAAATATGAGGAATTAAGGTATCTAACTTTACGATAGCCAACCAACGTAGTTTTCAAATTATTAGGCTTTCAAATTGTTACTACTCATGTGACAACAAGATTTCATATATTATTTGATATACTTTTTCAAGTTATACAAAATTTATTTTCACCTATTAATCTACTATATTTCTATATAAATTTAAATAGACAAAGATGTATTATACTATGTGAAGTTTTCTAGTTTAGGTAAAAAATTAAGTCGACTTATTACTAATATTGCATAAATCACATTAATCCATCTCTAACTTTTCTTCAAGTTATGATATCTATTATTAGGAGTTATTGTATTAAATCTCCTTTCGATCTCAATTATGCTCATATCAATTTTAATTTTATAATATAAATTGATGGGAATGACAATCCACAATCCATAGATAATAGGAATGTTGGCAAATTTTATCCCATTAAAAATACCTATAAGAATCCCCACCCTCACAATTTGCTGGGATAGGAATGTGGAGGCACTCCCCAACCTTAGGGGCGGTCACCATTCCTACAGTGTATGCATTTAGGACTTTTCTGTGGGACCCATTTTAAATCTCTTTCTTTTTTTGAATTGATTATTTAGTCTCTAATAAATTTTATTTTGCAATTGTTATTATATACATGCCCATCAATAAATTGAAATCTTATGTTAGAGAATGAGTAATTTAATTTTTTTTCCAGTTTTTCTCATTGGCATTAAGACAAGAAAAGGACTGACCATTTCTAGGCATTTCACTTCTCCTCAGCGATTGGTGGCTACGCCATAACAAACTATAACAGTTCTTTCTCTTCACTATCACTATAAATTCTACAAAATACAACAAAAAAATATTGTGGTAACATTCAGAGACTCTATTTCTGGTAAAAGTTTAATGAGCTCTTTTCTTTAATTTCTACCTTGCTTTTCCTCTGAATATTCTTATGTGAGAGAGATGTCTAGATGTTTCATGAAAGATTGCTCCTTGTTGCTAAAGAAAAACTTGGAGAAAGGAGATGAAGGTTTAGTTTTGGGTTTAGTTTCAATTTGATTAATGTAAGTGTAATACCCCAAAATTTCTGGAATAAATAAGTGTGAGTTAGGGACTAACTTGTGAGAAAATATTATTCTGGGACTTAATAGCCAAAGTTTGAAAGTCAAGGGGCTTAAAAGAGGAGAATTGGATAAGGATGGCTGATATTTTTCTCCTTTTTCCTCTTTCTTCTTCCCCGATGCTCTGCTGCCCGACCAGCCTCTCCCCATCCCCAGTCGCCGGCTCCTCTTTGAAAAATTGGTAAAAAACTTGATTTTCTCCTTTCTTCTTGTTAAAGAACCAGATTTGGAGCTTGAAATCTTTCCCCCTGCAGGAAAGCTCCCGGATCTGCTCTGCTCCTTTCTTCTTCACCGCCGGCTGCTATGTGGGTGGGTGATTTCTGGGCATTTTTTCGGTAAGAACAGCCATGAATCTCCCTTCTCTAGCTTTAATTGGCTTGGGTTTACCCTAATTTCCCTTGATTTCTCCAATTTCCGATAGATTCCCCTTGAATTTCCCTTGCACTGCCGCCGGCTTCCTCACTAGCCAAGCTCCAGTTTTGCTTGCTAAATTCTGGTAAGTGGCAGCCCTCCAAGTCTAAAATTATCCATTTAATTTGCTGTCTTGTGATGTCTGAATTTGGCTGAGAATTGGGGATAATTCCGGTAGCTTTAGGATGAGATTTAAGCACTAATTCAAGTGGGTTTTTGTTTAATTTAAGTGTAAATTGCTTGAGTTGGTTGCTGTGATTTTTGGAGAGAAAATCCCGTGAGATTAGCTATGGTTTTGCCAATTTTTGAAAGTGGGGTTACTGATCACGGCACTGTTCACAGATTACTGTTCACACTCCGAGGGTCAACAATTAACGGGGATCAAATATTTAGTGTGGAGATATCTGATCGTGTGGAGATATCTAATCATGTGGAGATTGATAGGAATAGCATCGTGATTAGGGGGTAGTTCTAATGACGATTTCACTTGAATTTGTGATAGTATAGAATTAATTCTTGGATATTTTGATTAGGTTCCTGATTATTCTGTCAGTTAGCACTGAGATCGAGCCTTCAATTTTATGCGAGTGAATTTCTGTGTTATGCAATTGAGGTAAGTAAATTTATAGTAATGTCCGTACAGTTTTTAAAAGCATGTTTTGACTTGTTTTTGAAATGGTGGCGGGACTAAACCCGTTTTACACGAGCATGACTGATTTTCAGTGAAATTTTTATGATTTTCATTAAATTGAGCATGCCTACTTGAAATTTCATTGATTATCCGGATGATTTGAAAGTGATTGATGAATTATGATTTTTCTATTAACTTCTGTCTGTTTTGTCTCCGATGTGGTCATGTTATTAGTGACCCTGCTAGTGGGGGTTAAACGCTAGCACATGTCGACATGTTTACTGATATGACCGGTAAATTTTGACGCCTGCCAATGGGCGAACACATTGGTAAATTCTGACGCCTGCCAGTGAGTGTTATACGCTGGCCATGACTTATAGAGGAGATGTCTATTTCGTTTCCGTACCCGTATCTGTTCTTCATGATTGCACTGGTTGGCATGCTTTAAGTTTAATAAGGGCATTCCATATTTTACTTACTGAGTTTATCTCATAGTTTTCCTTGTCCACCATTTCAGGAAGCGAAACCGAGAACGAGGAAACCATAGGAAGTGACGAGTTAGAAGGCTAGCCATTTCGAGATTGATATAGATTTTGGGAATAAATTGTGATCTTGTAAACTTGACTTTATTGGAGATTTATGATATTAGAGAAAATTATAAAATTTGATCTTCAGATTTTGATGGTATCAGATTGTGGTATGATAAGTTTCGAGCCTTGTGCATTTGTGGGACCCTCTCACAAGTGTACGACGTCTGCCACGTCCTCGGATTTGGGTTCTGGGGCGTGACAGTAAGTACCCTGCTCTTGTTTCTAACAAAAAATTGTACATGTGGGTTTCAATATAAGACTTGTATCCAATCTAAGACTAATTGGCAATAGGTGGAGTAGTCTTCCTTATATTTAACCCACAAGTTTCTTTATTATATCATCGATGTAGGATTTTCTCACTTAACACGCCTTCTCATGTGCAAGTTTGGTATGAATGTCACATCTTGTTACGTGGCTTAATATACCCCCTTACATGTAGGTTGCGTATAAACTTTAAGTCTTGTCAGGTGGGCTAATAATAAGCTTTATAAGATAGAACTTGGGCTTTGATACCATGAAAAAATTGTGCATGTGGGCTTCAACACAAGGCTTACATCCAACCTAAAGTCAATTGGCAATAGGTGGAGTAATCCTCCTTGTATTTAACCCAGAAGTTTCTTTGTTATAAGGAGGGTTACTTCACCTATTGTTAATTGGTTTTAAGTTAGATGCAAGCCTTGTATTGAAGACCACATGCACAATTTTCATATGGTATCAAAGCTTAGGTTTCATCTTGAAAGCCCATTGTTAGCTCCCTTGATAGGACTCATAAAGTTGATACCGAGCTTGCATGTAAGGGAGTGTATTAAGCCACGTAACAAGACTTGACATTCATAGCGGACTTACACATGAAGGGGCATATTGAGAATATAACAAATAACCATGTGGGTTAAACATAAGGAAAGCTACTCCATCTATTGCTAATTGGTTTTATATTGGATACAAACCTTGTGTTGAAGCCCACATGCATAATTTTCACACAGTCCTTTAAATTGATTGCTATTTCTTAGGGAATTTTGCTTTGAAAGATGGTAGAAGGTCTACCACAAAGCAAGCTATAATAAACCCATCCTCAATATGTTCCTCACGCAATAACCCATCATCAACAATTTTTTGGAGGAATTCATAGAAGTTTCTCAAATGGACCTAGGCCCCTTCAACCATTAGGTGCCTTTTTCTCTAGTATCATATAGATTTTCTTTCTTTATCTCAAAAAAAGTAGTGGTATGAGAAAGAAATGGCTTGAAAAGGTTAGCACAGAGCATCTTCATGATTTTGTAGACTATATCATCCAAAAGAGATTCAAGAGTAAGAACATAATCGCTCATCTCTTTAAGCACATCATCCCCTTTAAATATTGTTTTCATCATAGCGAGCATTTCTGCGAAGGCAACTCCATTTTGTCTGATGTCAGAAAGAGATTGTTTGGCCTTGAAGTGCTCTATGAAAGGTTGAAAGCATAGTCTATCTCTACAAGATTAAAACCCAATAGAAATAGAGTTGTTGGGGAGATGGCCCAACATTGGCCAAAGGCCTTATTGGTAGAAGACCCACTTGGGCAAAAGACTTAGTAAGAGCCCAAGGATAAAGATAAATAATAGAATCATACCCATGTGGCCAGTGATATGCGGATCAATCGAACAAGGGCATGTGGCATTGCTATCATAAATGAGGGTTATAAATACCCCCATCTACCTCAATGCAAAGTAATAACTTCACTATACTTCTCTCCCTACAATATTAAGTTTTGAGAGTTTCTCTCCTTTTAGAGTAACTAAATATTGCTAAATTGAGCATCGAAGTGTGTTCCTTGAGGATACTTGAGATTTTCAATTGTTGAAGCAATTTAAGATCTCAATAGTACATGAGCTTGTGAAGTTGCCTAAATAAGAATCATAATTTGCAGGCATTTCAACAAAGACAAAACCCATAAAACAACAAAATCAATAAGAACACCAATGCTAAGCTCAACTCTTTTTTCTTCTCTTCACCCATGAAATATAAAGTCAATAAGGAGAATTTTCATTAAACTACAATACATTTATCAAATTGAATACAAACCTACCCTCTTTTTTTTTTCTTATCTATGGACAGTTTTCATGGGAAACAAACACAAATCTAAGAAGAAGGATGCAAAAGGGTACTTTAATTGTTAGACTATGAGACCGAGAGGTAATTAGCATCACATGTGGTAATAGAGGAAGAAAAGAGAGTTAGGAGCTCCCCTTTCTTAAGTTAGAGGTTTCCATAGAATTTAATGCTCATTAGTTTGTCTTAAAATATATAGAGATATCATTAATTTAACAAACAAGTAAAGGATTAACTCGACTTGAAAAAACTAGTTAATTAATTTAGGAGAATCCGCCATCACATGCAATAACACTCAACAAATTGATTTTGGAAGCATATTAATATAGAACTTATATTGATTGATTATGGTGAAATCAATGCCTTAATATCTCATATCTTGATTAGTTTTATTTTAATTGTTATTTTTTTATTATTTTTATTTAAAGTTTATTCTTTTTCAATTGTTCAAATAAATTTAGATTAACTATTTTGGTGCTTAATTAATCACAATCCTCGTTGGTTCGACACTCTACTTATCATTATATTACTTGAAGTGACTAGTGCACCTGTTAAAGTGATTTTAGCACACTAGACTACATAATAAATACATAAAGATTTATAGTCATCTAATAAGGAACCATTACTCTTATTATAAGAGAGAATATTTAAATTTATCTCTCTTTTATGTCAAACAAAAATCTGGCAGGTCAATTTTTTTTAAAAAAAATGTTTTTAAACTCAATTTTAGAAAATTAAATTTTATCAAAATTTATTTTCTAAATATTTTTAATTGTCTAAATATATTTAAGAGACACATGCAAGTTTAGAGATGATAGTACTATAAGAAATCTAATTTGATTAGACTTTGTACGGAATATTAGTTGGTGGAGGACTATTATGCAAATATTGTGGTTTGAGGGATCTCACAATTTTATCTATAACTTCTTGGATGAGATTGTTATCTATTGATGGGTTTTGATTACAAGTCTGAATTGGTTTAAATTCAATTTGCCAAGAGATTAATATCCCAAAAGAGTCCCACACAACATCTTATTAGAATTCTAGTCTAATTATAAAAACTCCCTCTATATAATACCTATTGATTTGTCAATAGGGTATCTTAATTTTCTACAAGAAAACTAGTGATAAATGGTGGAAGGAGAAGCCATCACTTCTCTAGAAGATAGAATTGAGGCATCACATGTGAACTTTGGAGGATTTTACGTATGTGAAATCTCTGTGAGTTTTCCTAACTTTTAAATGAACATATTTGTATTATGTTAACTAATAATTTGTTTATAGTTCTTAATTTGATTAAGTGTACTATAAACCTCCAAAAAATAGGGTTATGTCCAATTTGATAAAGATAAGAAAAGAAAGCAGTGATTCTGCATTTGTTTCTTGAATTTTTGTTTGAAGGTTTGTGTTGGCCAAAAAGCCTACAAATTATGACTCAGTTATCGTTGGGGTTTAATCTAGCAGGGACAAAATCCATTGTGCAAACTATGAGCAAGATGTTTTGATGTTTCATGAAAAACTACTTCTTGTTGCTAAAGAGAAACTTGAAGAAAAGAGAAGAGGGTTTAAGTTCAATTCACATGGTTTATATTATTATTAGTCTAATTTATGTAATTATTTCTCAAATTTATGTATAAATTACTAAATCAATTTAAAGGTGATTAGTTTTTCAATGCATTAACTTCAATAATATAAACTCATCATACGAATAGCTTTAATTGAAAGTATAAAATCTATAATAAATTGATTAGGCTACATCATAACCTTAATAAAATAAATTAGCTCATAATAAAAATAACAAAACCTAAAATTATAGTTATGAACATTTGAATATCAAACAATAGATAAAAAGAATATAAGGAATAACAAAACTCAATTTGAGGAAGTTGAAATCCTTGATCTTCTATTATTGATGAATCCTCTATCTTGACCTCCAAGAATGTCCAAAAAAGGGTTGGCACCAACCTCCAAAGCTCTCTCAACTTTGAATTTGGATGGGTATTTATAAGATTTTAGAAACCCTAATTGGAATATAAATGAGACTCACACCCAAAATAAAAAATTAGACATGGATTTTCTAAAAATCACGTAACGGGTCAACACCTCTAACTAGATGCCAAGACCTTCTATTAAGCGCACAATATCATCACCGTGTTAGGTTTTTGGCCTTATAAGCAGTTTTTGATAATGGTAAAATGACAGTTTTGGTTCCTAACTTCTGAACTCTGCACAACTTAATCCTTAGCTTTTTTATCTCTATAATTTGCTCTTAAAAATTATGATTTCTTCCAATTAAGTCCTTTTCTACACAAAGAATAAAAATTATGTAAAATAAAGTAAAATCTCATAAAACCCATCCAAATATCAATAATATCAAGGCAAAAATTTCACATTACTATGTATATAAATTTAGCTCATCATAGTCCAATATGTCCGTATATATCCCATTTATTAGGCATCATCAGTTGACAATATCAAAATTAAATAACTTGTACATAAGATTAAATAACATTTTTAGATTTAAGGACTTTTTGTAAATTATGAATAGAATAATCTTTTCTTTGACAATAATTAACTTAAGATTATTCTATATAGCTTAGCTCAATATTTATCTTATAAGAAAAACTACTTCATTTATTACCAACTGGTTTTAAGTTTGATGTAAGTTTTGTATTGAAATTCATAGGATAAAATATGTGTTTAATCCCTTACCTTATTAAGTTTAAAGGTTTTAACCCTTCACCTTACACTAGGAAGTTTTTAGCCCCTAAACTTAAAGGTTTGAAGATTTTAGGTCCTAAACTAATGAAATCAGTTAACTCTTGCAAAATCAGTCCTTAAAAATTAAAAATATAACAATTTAGTTTCAAAAGTTTAAAAATTAAAAATAATTAGTAAATTAAAAATAATTAATGAATGTTTTTGCCACATACATGAGAATAATATTAAATATTTACAATTAAATAGAGTTATTAGCTCAATTTGAAGAAAAAATTTTGATTGAGATTAAAGAAAATTTCTTAACTGAGTTAATACAAAAAGCCTAAGAGACTAGAAAAATACAATAAAAAATTTTTCTTTAATCTTAGTCAAATTTCTTTTTTTAAATTAAACTAATCACTCGATTTGATTGTTGTTATTTAATACTGTTCTAGTATATGTGGTAAAGACATCCCCTTATTATTTTTAATTTACTATTTTTTTAAATTTTGAAACTTTTAAAACTAAATTGTTACTTTTTTGACCTTTGAGAACTGATCTTGTAAATATTTTACTTTCACTTTAATAGAAAGTTAACGGATTCTGTTAGTTTATGGTTAAAATCTTCAAAACTTTAAGTTTAAAGGTTAAAAACTTTATAATGTAAGGTGAGGGACTAAGATCTTCAAATTTATTAAAGTGAAGGGCTAAAGGTATACTTTAGCTTTTTAATTAGCTGGAAATTCAATTGAAGTTGAAAAAAAAAAGGTGCCTCGACAGACCGTGGTATTAGTGTTGACTCAATGTACTCCAAGAGGGGGGTGAATTGGAGTTCCAAAAATTCTCCCCTTTTTCAACCACAAAACCAAAGTTAAAGAGAGTAGAGAAGAAGAGCTTGCACAATGAATTTATAGAGGTTCAGTCCAACCACTTGGAGCCTAGTCCTCTACCTTGGCTTCACTTACCAAGGATTTCCTCCACACTCTTCACTAAGAAAGACAAGGGTGGCTTAAAGGAGCCACTCAATCCTTTTACAAGAAGATGAGTATTTCTCTCAAACCTCACTCCTTTACAATGTAAACCCCACAAATCCTCTCAATAAATCACTCTTGAAGGAATAATCACACCCCAAGAACATACACTAATAGAACAAGAAGAGGATTACAAGCAATGATCACTCAAAAATCAAAAACTCAAGTTAAAGCTCAAGTAGGTAGGTAAAGATATTCAATGTAATGTTCTCCAAACTTCTTCAGATCTGTTACTAACCATATTTATAACTCCTTACTCGAAAATAGCCGTTTCTAACCGTTGGGGGTCATTAAATGCTTTGCAGGACGCAAAGGTCGAGTTGCAGGATTGTCAAGAGAGCCGGCTCAGCTTCTTAGAGCCGGCTCTTCAAAGCCGGCTCACCATTTCTGTAGCCGGCTTTACGAGATTCTGCACATTCTGTTTTCTCTGTAGAGCCTACTCCAAAACGCAAAGCCTGCTTTGCGGGTTTGCTACACATTTTGTTTTCTTCCACAGCCGGCTACAAAAAACCTGGAGCTCGCTTTGGTATTCTGACTTTAAAAAAATATTAATTATTCTTCAAATAAGTCGACCTTTGTGTATTAAATGCGCCCTTATAGCCGGCTGCAAAGTTAGAGCTAGCTCTGCGTCTTTTCTCCGCGCGCGCCAAACAATGGACCTTTAAATCTTTACCCGTAGAGCCGGCTCTCTACACCTCCATTTCACCAAAGCCAGTTGCAGCTTTTAAGAGCCGACTTTCTGCACATTTTCAATCCTTTTAGTCTATTTTTAGTGCAGTCCAAGTTTACTTGCAATCTTTTAGCAATTTAACTACACACTTAAATAAACCAATTAGTCACTCAAATGTGTTTTATAATCATCAAAATCATAGGTACAACAATTAGTGCAACAAAGCAATAACTTTATTGGTGCGACACATTGTTTGGGTTCAGAGGAAGGTTTTTAGGTTTGTAATTGCATTATTTCTCTTTTTTTTTTTGTTCAATTGATTTCATTAAGTTTCAATTGAATGAAATTGTTTCACGCAATTATGTATCAGGCGATGATTTTGCGGATACTTGTTCCAATATAATTTGGGTAGATTTATTTATTTATATTTATCTTGGGTTGTATAATAGGAAACAGCATTTTCTCATCTTTTAACCTCATCCTACATGTATGTCATATGACTTAAATTCAAGATTTATTATTTAATTCCATGAGAAGGAGATTCCTACTAAACTATTTAAATTATTGACAATTTAAGTAGATTTATTAGGGGCAAAACCCTCAAATCCACCCTCAAAAAATATCAGTAGGGACACATCCACTCCTAAAAAAAAAAAAGGACAAATTGCCTCTCCAAATCATAAATCAATACAAATCATTCCTTCTTCAGCAAAAAACCTCAGAATTCTGTTTGCCACGTCAACATTTTTTAACAGAAAACGTTGAAAAAGAAGTGATTTGTATTGATTTATAATTTGGAGGGGTAATTTGTCCCTACTTTTTTTTGAGAGATGTATGTGTCCCTACTGATTTTTTTGAGGGTGGATTTGAGGGTTCTGCCTTTATTAGGTGTACAATTTGCTCTTTTGAATTTTTTAAGGATTTTGGTTCAAAATTTTTATTGAAATGCACCTTACCTAAGAATATCATATAGTCATACAAAAAGAGAAAAAAGAAGATACTAATTTTTGGGAATTGTCCTTCTGATTAGTAGAATAGTAATATTTGCATGGTTGCATAATGGAAAAAGATTGTTATATTGGGGTTTAAGTACCATTTTGGTCCCTCAACTTTTCACTTTGGTACTAAAATTGTTTTTCATCTTTAAAAAGTATCAAAATTATCTTTAAATTTTCATTTTTAGTACCAAAATGATCCTTCCGTCAGTTAAATGACAGGTGGCATGTTAAAATGCCAATAAATCAATTTTTTTTTTTCTTAATCAATGACATGGAAAAAAAAAACATAGTTAACTATTTTTTTTATGAGTTGGTATTTTTATTTAATTTAACAATAATAATAGTTTTTTTTGCATCCACGTCAGAAAAAAAAATTTTTCTTCTTCCCCTTTCACTCTCTCTCCTTCACCTTTCCTTTCCCTTTCTTCTACAAACCCAGATCTGGAGTGGACGCTCGATCACTTCTTTGTTCCTCTAGGTGACAGTGCCTTGTTCAATCTTGTCATCGTTCACGCCAAACCTTTTGCTACTACTGCCATCAGCCTTCTTCTTCTTCTCTCTCAAACCCAGATCTGGGTTTTCATCATATAAATTTGGGTTTTGCTCAAGACTTTCGACGAAGAAGAAGAAGGCACGAGCAAATAAAAACTAAAACTAATTCAACCCAAATAAAAACCCAGGTACAGAATCTGACTAAATACCAACAGGACATTGCAGATGCATATATAGATACGACTAGAACTGATATTGACTGACTTACCTGAAGTTGAGGAACTGACCAAAGGCAATAAGGGGCCAGAAAATAATATGGGCCACGATTCATGTTATGGGGTTACAAGATTCGGAGTTTGCAGAGCAAAATCTAATCCCTGATTCTTGCGTTGTAGATGGATCTGGATTTGATAGAGGAAGACCCAGATCTGGGTTTGCAGAAGTGAAAAGGAAAGGACTTCCAGTGACGAAGAAGAAGGCACAAGCTCTGGGTCTTTCCCTGGGTTTTCTCGAACAGCGATTCGACAAAATAGCATCATCGGAAAGGACTTTCGACGACGAAGAAGAAGGCACGACCTCTGGGTCTTTCTCTGGGTTTTCTCGAACAGCGATTCGACAAAATAGCATCATCGGAAAGGACTTCCAGTGATGAAGAAGAAGGCACAAGCTTTGGTACGAGATTTGGAGTTTGCAGAGTATAATCTAAGGACTTCCTCCTTGATTCGAGCGTTGCAAACAGATCTGGGTTTGAGAGAGGAAGACCCAGATCTGGGTTTGCAGAGGAAAGGGAAAGGAAAGGTGAAGGAGAGAGAGTGAAAGGGGAAGAAGAATTTTTTTTTTCTGACGTGGATGCAAAAAAAATGTTATTATTATTAAATTAAATAAAAATGCCAACTCATAAAAAAAATAGTTAATTATGTTTTTTTTTCCATGTCATTGATTAAGAAAAAAAAATTGATTTGTTGGCATTTTAACGTGACACCTGTTATTTAACTGACGGAAGGATCATTTTGGTACAAAAATAAAAATTTAAGGATAATTTTAATATTTTTTAAAGATGAAAAATAATTTTGGTACTAAAATGAAAAGTTGAGGGACCAAAATGATACTTAAACCTTATATTGGCAAGCGGCTTGCTCTCCCTAAAGTTGGTACAGCAAGTGAGATGACCAAGTGGCTGTAGAACCTCAGAAAGTAATCTTTCTACACCATGTAGTTATTATAATTCATATAGTCACATTTCAATATCTTATATCTAGGTGGATTATATTGAAAAAAAAAAAAAAAGATAGGTCATAGCTTAAGCTTGGATTTGACTATGATATTTATGTAGGCATTTGATTGTTAACTCTTTAAATGCATTAATTAGATTAGTATAGGGGTGATTATAATTTGTGCTACAAGTTATGTTTCTTTATTTTTATGTAATGCCTATATAGCAAACTATAGATACATTGTAATTCTTTTATTATTAATATATCTTTGGTTTTATAAAAAAATTCACTAATCATATTATATATATTTACTCATTTGATAATTATTATAATATTATAAAGTTACAATTTTATATAAGATTATAATAACTATATCATTAAGGTAATTTATGTCAATTGATTGTTCTTTAAATTTAACATCAACTTTCTATGGATACATTTTTGTGGTGGTCATGGTGTCTCGTCTTTTTGTGAAAATCGAGTCTACCTTTTGCAACTATTTACGTCAATTTATTGTTCTTTACCATTAACTTCCTTGGATGCATTTGGTGGTGGAGGCGTGGTGGCTCATGGTATCTCCCTCTTTTAAAAAAAAAAAGAATTAACTAATTTATTTATTTATTAAACTTTTAGTCTTCGAAAGTTACATTGGGTTTCAACTAATTCAAAGTCAACTTGAGTCAAACTTTATAAGTTGAGAAATTCTCTCAGCACTTGCCTTTCTATTTATAAAACTTGAACTAAATATCATACTCAAAATAAAACTTGAACTCAAGATTATACTAAAAAAAAACTGAGTTCCTTCTACACAGATTAACAAGTCGATAATATGTACCTCGACTTTGTATCTGTTGTCATTTTTGTGTTGTATTTTTTTGATAAGCAAATTGAAATAATTTATTAATAGGAGTACAAGGGGTACTCCAACCCAGTTACAGAATAAAAGGCTAAACCGTCATAATATAAACCCAGCAAAAATGACAACATTTATTATAAAAACAGATAAGCCAAAACCAATCAAGCCCCCACTGCCGATCATATATGTCCCTGTTTCAGCTTCAACTACATCTTTAATTCCTTTTTATGCCTCCTCACCACCAATGCACAAGCAACTGGGTCAACTGTCCATTCATAAAAAGAGAACATGGAACCGGTATTCTTAGATTTAATCCAAGAGAAGGACTTGATTTTAACCATATCCAACAATTTCTCCTTAAAGCTCCCATTATTTTGAAACACAATAGCATTTCTCCAATACCACAATGTAAACGACCACTTAAAATTTTTTTCAAAATAAATTTAAAAATCAAGTGTGAAAATATAAAAAAAAAGAGAGTCGTCACTCATCCAAATTATAAGGTGGGACAAGTCACCTAAAATGGATCTGCGTAGAGATCGAAGTTCGGAGGTTCGATTAGGAGTAAGGAAGGACATACGCGCACCTCACAATCCTCCGTTTAAACACGGTTGCATACTTTAAAATTGGGGTTTTGATTCAACTTATTAATTATATTTGCACTTAAGTCTTAATAAGTAAGCTTAAAAAAACTAAACCAAATTGAAACATTTTTTAGGTTTTTGGACTAAAATGGACGAATTCAAGAACATGCATGAGAAATGAGCATAAATAAAAAGTTAGAGGACTAATTTGATTAAATTCAAAACATGAAGGACTGATTTGGTTAAGTTCAAAACATGAAGGACTGATTTGAAAAGAGTTGAAACCCATGGACTTAATTGCTTAATTACAAAAGCATTGGGTAAAATTTAAAATAAACAAAGATGATTTTGACTTTGAACATAGATTAAAGAAAATTAAGGATTTAAATTAATTAATTATGATAATTAACTTATTAAATGATTAATTTAACATTAATTAAAATTAATTAATTACGTTATCAATCTTTGATTAAGATAATTAAATAATATAATTATCTTAAATTAAAATTAATAAACATAATTAATTTATTTTAATTAAAATTAATTAATTTTATTAATCATTAAATTAAGTAAATTATCTTGATTAATTAATATATTTTTATTTCTTTTTTAATTTTTCTTTGTTAGATTGAGTCGGATCAACCCGACCCACAAAACACGACCCGCTAACCCAAAACAGGCAAAAAGATCAAACACCAAACAGAAAAGTTTTCAATTAGGGTTCATCATGAATGCATCTCATTTCCAGCAAAGGATTCACAGATTCACAGATTCATCAAAAGATTCACAGATTCACAGATTCGTCAGGCAACTAAACAGGCAAATATATATAATCTTTCATTCATTTTCTCAAGAAAATACATATAACCTTAAACATGAAATGAAAAATACAAAGGAAAATCAACAAACAAATCAACACTCACGGCAAAGTTTTCTGGGAAAAAATAGATCCAGATCTGATGGGAGGGATCCCACCCACGGGACCAGGCTCCCATCGTCCCCTTCACCACCATTCCCAGAAAAACTTCTCTGTTCAGAAAATTACCTACACAAAAGCAAACACAGCAAATAAGCCCTCCGTCAACCTCCGGTACAAAACCGAGCCCCTTTCAACAGAAAACTTTCCCTATTCTCCGCCGGCAACACCAGAAAACAAAAGACTCCTCCGCCGGCAACACCAAAACCACACAACCAAAAAAACCAGATCTTAGCTATCCTAAAACCTCCTATTTATACAAAAATCAAAGGAAACCCTAAAGGACGCTGGTCTACCATCATGCTCAGTTGGCTACAACGTGGGGTGCAGGATCAGGTTGCAGAAGAGGGGCGGCACAGAGGGGGGGTGTAGGCTGCTGTAGGCTCTACGGGTGCAGGAGAAAGGAGGCGAAGTCGGCTGGGTGCAGGGTAGGTTGCAGGCGTGCGAGGGTGTGATGATGGCTAGTTTGGTGATAGGGGGTAGGGCGCGGTGCAGGGCAGGTGTAGGCAGCAAGCCGGGCTCGGGTGAGGATGCAGAGCAGGGGCGCTAGGCAGGGGTGCTGGTGTGCAGGGCGCAAGGCGCGGGCTCAGGGCACGG